AATACTATGGTTAGTAACCTGAGTAAATCCTGGAATATCACTAAATAACGAAGCAAATTCACTTACCACTTGTCGGATTCTTCGTTGCTCGTCATTAGGCAGGTGGTCAAGATTTAACATCGGCGGTTCAGCCTTTTCTTCACGAACTGGTTTCATTGTCAGCTTAAGGGACGCTTCATTAAAATCCAGCGTTGCTTGTGCCTCTGAAAGAAAATCTATTCCTAAGATTAATATGTGCTTGCAGATTCTTTACTATAAAAAACATCACCTTTACTTGTTCGTCCTTGATACGGATATACAAGCGGTACTTTACCTATACACTTACATTTTTCTCCTTGCGCGCCGCTAACACTGTCGTATTATCCGAATTATATATGCGGTATTTGCGAAAATACTTCCTAAAAAAATCTTCTGCCACACAGGAACACTGCGCGCCTGTATCCAGGAGTGCGGTGGCTGGGATATTATTCACCAACACTTCAATCTTCGGAAGAGTCAAATTTTTCACCATTACTGTATTTAACTTGAAGGAAGAGGGGTTTTCGTGGCCTTCGGATTTCCGCACCCTCCCGTCAGCAGAAATCCGTTTTAGTTTAAATTATTTTTCATTTCCGTGCTTTCCTTCTTTTTCCACTTTTCCACTGGCCTTGAGACTTTTTTCCTGGATTGCTATTGAACTGTCGACGTTCGCCGGCTGTTTTTGAATGCTCGGGTTTCCTTGCCCACTGATTCGCTTTGCTTCCGTAGCCGTGTGCTTGAGTTTGCTGTAGTCTTGGCGCACCAAATTGGTTTCGCTGTTGATATTGGCGTCTTCTTTCGAATGTCCGCCGTTCTTCTACTTTCAAACTGGATTGCTAGCTCAAATAACTTTTCCAGTGTAGTCGGATTTCTTAATTCAATAAAGTCTTGCACTTGGGGCAGTAACCTCGGCAAAATCACTTGAATTATCTTCAGGATCCGGACGGTTTCCATACAAGAGTTTGAAGACGTGAATTTTTCTTAAAATAAAGCTTGAGAGGTTTTCGATTCTTTGTTGATATATACTGAAAAGTTCCGTTTCTAATTTCGCACGATCCCTTACAACAGGGAAGGCTTTTAGTAGGGCAGTCTTGAAATTTTCGTAAGTATAGGTGGGACTTCCTGCTTGACCCAAGAGACTTCTGCCTATACATTTGAACCAGTTAAGCGCTTGGCCCCTCAAAGCGCTGGTAGCTAAGGTAACTTTTTGAAACTCGTGCACGGGGTAGAGCATGAAGTGGTCATCCAATTTTTCCAAAAAACTGGTTACCGGTGAGTTTCCATTAAATGTTGCTTCTGGTTTCATCGAAGCGCGCATGGTCTGGACGATGTAACCAAATCCTTCCAGGGCGGCAGCTGGCATTTCTGGATTCTGAGCCGCTTCTCTGCAGGCAGCACACAGGTTCTTCTTGAAACTCGGCCATGGTTATTCTTCTTCGTTGGGCGCCACTATCAGGTTCAATGTTCCTTCTTACCTTCTTCGGGAACATGCAAGGACCTGACTCGGAACAGAGAGCTTACTAAAGCTATGTTCAATAACTTGTGGGAAGTAGACAGGATACACAAGAAGGGTATACAAAACCCTTTATTTTTTTCTCTATTACAATAACTTCCGTACTTCGGAATACAAGACCCACTACTTGTGGTCTAAACGTAAAATATAAAAATAAAACTAAACTCTAATTTAACTTTGAATAATAAACGTGGAAGATTGGCCTTATATTAACAGGAAGCCGTATGTAGTACAGAGAACTGTGAACACTACAATACGTTTAAAATTATCAAGAGGATTAAAACCTCTGGCCTGGAAGGCAACCAGCAACTGCGTAAAACTTCTAAGGTAAGCGGCCTGCTTCGACTCACTGCTTCCTCTCTCTCGCTTGGCAAAAAGCCACAACTTAAATACTTGGCGTTCGCCAGACAAACTTTGCATAAATAACCTTAACGCTTATAATTCTGGCCGGAAGTAGAAAATAAGAAGTGATAGTAAAGATTTAAAATAAAATAAACGTTAGTAAAACCCCTTCATAGTCAAAATATGTTAATTTTTTAGCAATATCTCTTACGTTAATCAAAAAATCAATTTAAAAAAAAAAAACTAACGTTGAAGCATCATATAAAGATCTGAGCTAAGTTTACACAACTTCAGTTTATGTTCGTCATAAATTTGTTCGCCATGACACCAATCTCATTGACTAAAAATTGAACATTGACTGACTAATGACTGACAAAGTGAGGATTTCATTGACTGATCATTGACTGACTAAAAATTTGAAATTGGACAATGACTGACCAGTGACTGTCTAAGTGGCGATCGCATTGATTGATCAGTGACTGGCTAAAATTTGACATTGACTGACGCCTGACTGTTAAGTGACGATCTTATTGACTGGCCATTGACTCACTAAGTGACGATCTCATTGACTGACTAAAAATTGGACATTGTCTGACCAGTGAGTGACTAAGTGACGATGTCATAGTCTGACCAGTGACTAAATAAGAATTGGACATTGACTGACTAAGTGACGATCTCATTGACTGACCAGTGACTCAATTAAAAAAAAAGACATTGACTGACCAGTGACTAAGTGACGATCTCATTGACTGATTAAAAATTGGACATTGACTGACCAGTGACAGACTAAGTGACGATGTCATTGACTGACTAAAAATTGTACATTGACTGACCAGTGACTGACTGAAAATTGTACATTGACTGCTCAGTGACTGAATAAAAATTGGTCGTTGACTGACCAGCGAGTGACTAAGTGATGATCTCTTTGACTGACCAGTGACTGACTAAAAATTGAGGTCATAAGCAGAACTTATATTTATTTAATAAAAACAGATTAAGTGGGGAGCCAAAGAAGAGGCTTGATTGTGACTAAACTGTACATTTAAGCAAAAACTAAAACTTTTAATTAAAGCTTAATAATTTTTTTATGTATATTTTTACAATTGATGCATTATTTTACTATCTCTTTATCATATTTCCTTTTTAATGCTATTTTATTTTTACTTATTTGTTTATTAATATTTACTTTTATGTTTTTTGTATTTTCTTACTTGTTACTTTTTACATTTTATATTTATTTCTTCTTAATATTTTACTTTACTTATCATTAATTTTATTATTAATTATTTATATTATTACTATTAGTATTTACTTTTGAATTTGATTTTCTTATTTCTAAATTTTTATATTATTTTTCATTACAATTTCATTTATAATTATCATTTCAAAACAGTTTCGAACGCGTTATAAAGCTTACACTTTTTTTAAAAATTAATTGTAAATTTAACACTTTTGGCTTTCCAATAAAATTTAATTCATTCATCTTTTCATCTCATTTGCATCAAGGACTTTCGTTTATTATTTTTCATTTATGCTGTATTATAATATTCAAAGCTTTATTCTTGAAAAACTGTAATAAAAGCAGTAAAGAAAAAGTCGGAACACTGTTAATGCGTAGTTATCCTATATTGAAGAAGAAGTATTCCGATTGCGTCATAAGTTAATGTGTTGACTTGGCAGTTGAGGCGATTTTAATTCCATTTTTATTTCCAATTCGCATATGTGGCCAGAGATGACTTGGCACCCTAGTCGTGCCTGTTCAAAAACATTTACATTATTGATATTATTGCAATAGGAAACAGCGTAGTTATGCAAGATGGAAGCATGCGAAGAGAAAAGTTTTGGTTTAAATGGTAGTTTCAGTTTCCAATTATTACGTCATCAGCGCTGCGCAGACCATGCAAAAAGGAAAGATCTAGAAATGACGCAATCGAGAGAAGTTATTACAAATTTTAGAACAGAGAGAGAGAATTAAAAGTTTTACCCTTTTAGTTTAAATTATAATTTTGATTTACATATTTTTTTCTTACATATTCCACCCTTCAAAGAGAAAAAGGCTTGGCGACAGAAAAGCCTTTTTAGAAGGAAGCATTACAGAATTAGCAAAACTACGGAAATCAACAGTTGGAAACAATCACAAAATTTGGATATAAATAATTTTTTAAAATATAAAATCTTAGAGAAATAATTTTCAATAATAAATTCGAATTGAAAATTCTAATGAAAATTAAAAGTTTTCAAATTCATCGTAAAGAATGTCATAATTTTTCTCAAGAAAGTTCACAGTTCTGTAAAATATTTGCTTAAGCATTAATCATAATCAATACTTCGCAGTCTTTAACTTGAAAATCTTTCATAAGAATTAATATTGCAAATACAAAACCAAAAATTTCTTTTACAGATTTATGAAATTTTAATTGATTATTTATGATATAATGCACATTTTCTTAATTGTGAAGGAATGTAAAATAGAATTTAGAACTTAATATACAGTTAGTAACAAAATTCAGTACAAGAATAAATTAAACTTTGATAAAAATACGCAAATTCTCTACAATGCAAATCAGCGTGACAACTTGCTGATGGCTGTGGGATGCGTAAATACAATTACGCATAGAAACCTCCGTTCCTTAATAAAGGTACCTGGACTCTAGTATTGTATAATTATCAAAGTTTATATTTATAACTTATGGCCATAAAAACCTTCAAATTAGTTAAATGAAATGAAAAAAAAAAATGTGAAAATTAAAGAGAGATTATATTCTACACTTCCCTAATATGGATCATTTAATTTTGTGAACATAAAATAAGAAAATAAATTTCTTAATTATATAACAAGCGTTTTGTTTGATGCGATGATATAACAACTTTTTCTTTCGGTTTTCCAGGTATTTTTGAAAGCAAATCAAATATCACTGATTTAAAGAATAAAATTGCATTAGATTTGAAAAGAAATGCCTCCCAGACATTAAAGTATTGTATAAACTGTGTAATAACGTCTTAAGAATGGCCAAATTTATTCCTTCTGATTTTTATATTTCAGTTCGCAATTCTAATTTTACTTTTATGAATTATTTCTTAAATATTTACACCATAAACTCATCTCGTATAATTCTGTTTTTCGTAGTTTAAAATTAGGAAGCCAATATGCTGTCGTTTTCAATGATTTCTTTTCAACGAAAGAAGCTTTTGTACAGGATGCTTTCATGGGCAGGCCTCCAGAATCTCCTTTTGAACAGCATGAGGTAACACGAGGTAAGATTCAAACTCTTCATGAAAAATGAAAATCAGACTATACTGTTGGTTATTTTATAAACATTTCTTCTTATTATTGTTGATCTGTGTTTATAGCTCTCTTATTCAGTATTTATTATTAGCAATATTTTTATTTCAATTTAGTTTTATATTTCACCGAATGTTGGGGAGCTGGTTATGCAAAAGTATTTTAATATTGAGCAAAATGTTGCATGGCAAAGTATTTTATTGCATAAATATGGCAAAGTATTTTAATATACAAAAAGTGCTAATATACTTTAAAAATTATTTTGGAGGGCTTCTAAGTTTTGTTTCGAATGTAATATTTAAATATTCTATTTAATGATAATTTCTTCTGGACTGTTTTCCAGGGTTACTGCTTTTTATTCACTTTTAACTACTCTACAAAATCAGACAATCATGGTAGGTTTTGCACTTAGAAAGATATCTTTTAAGCAGAGTCGTTATGATCAATAGTCTCATAACGGAGAGTCGATAAGCAAACATCAACTCTTAGAAATTCGATAGGCAAGAGATCTTTTAAACCGGTCGAATCATTACCGTCGGCAAGCAAAGTGTTAAGAGACTCTGGAGGAAGTATGTTGAAAAGTGTGCTTATGCTTATGCTTATGCTTTACTTTCACTACAGGCATCAACTTCTTAGAGTTTAAACCTGATCATTCTAACTTGCCATAACGGGCCGTTCCGGTTGTGAAAATTTAGGGCGCTATGACGCCACTCACCCCGAAAGCGAAATAAGAGTCGAGAGATCAGGCAGTCAGAGCTTTAAGGTGGCATCAAGGTGGCGTACACTAACATAACAGCAGAAATTCAATTTTTAAGTCAAAAAATCTGAGTCCTGACTGAAGAACATAAAAACTGCTTAGTGAGAGATCGAGAGAATAAATCTAATTCTTGAGAATTCAGGGTAATGTATCACGTGATCGTACTAGCCAATACGTTGGATCCAATGGTATTCGTGGTGAGTTCAATTATTCGGTACAAATAACACTACAGTCCTTTGCCTATCCAGGCACTAAGTCTATATTCTTAGTATAAACACAAAACTCAAATTACAAACACGAAATAAATCTTGGTTAAATACTTGGATAATACTAGGATTAAATGGCTTGATTAAATGCTTGATTAAATACTTGAATAAAATGAGATAAGTTGGATAAAACTATATGCATATTTACAGCTACCGCTTTACATTGTGGTGACTTGACCTAGGTCGTTTTACGAGGCTTTCCACAGTGGGATCATAGTTCGTAAGTTCTCTCAAAGTATTGACTGGCGAATTCTCCATTTTCTAAAAAAAATTTGTGAACATCCGTTAGGATATGCTCCGTTATTGGTTTACTTTTTAAATCTTCATTAATGATCGTATTTCTAACATACCAAGGAGCATTAACCATCGTTCTTAGTATTTTATTTAGGAGGTTAATTTTCCTTCGTTCAGTCTTTAAGCCTGGCCAGGCGGGGCTGCATAAAGCAAAATTGTGTCATAAGTGCTAAATATACCAGAGTACATTAATTTTTAAGATAAGGTAGATTCTTGAAACGTGGTTTGCTTGCAGTATCTGTATCAGTCTTTATTTTTTCTATAAATGTAGTGTTAGCTATCGAAACATGACTGATGGCTTCGCCTTGGTGCAGTTTTATTTTTTGAATCTTTGCGATAAAGAAATGGAATAACTTCTGTAAATATTGGAAGTAAATCATTTTCCTGATAGTATAACTAATTGATTTTAATGTTGTTTCTACTTTACATATTTTGATTATCCGTTACGGGATAAATCTGCAACTGTTAAAAATCTTTTATTGAAACTCTCTTTGCATTACTGAAACCAGGTTCATACAACATCTTACCCTTGTTTTCGATAAAGGTCGTATCACACACTCAAAACATTTCGAAAGAACAACAGTTCGGAATAATTTCTTCTGATTTGTCACACGATATAAAACAGCAAATCAACATGAATCACTTTGGGGTTACCATGTAAGGAAGAAACTACTTCTCTATTAAAAATGACAGTTGATGATGTGAGGTTAGATGCAGATAGCTGATTGGTTGTTGAAAACGATCAACATACGAATTTTTGTGAAAGAAAGGGAAAAAAAATCGTGCTTCTTTCTTTCAGTAGTAAAACAGGTAGAAAAAGTGTTTGAAACAGTTGTTTTCTCCCTAAGCAAATGGATGTGTAATACTAGCCCAACAGATAATCCTTTTCTTGTTGCACTCATTTAGGTAACCCATGTTTTATCAAGGTCACAATATATTTACATTTATCTCGTGCTAAATGATGTTCGTACAGGATTCTACAACATTTTCAAAGCTCAGCCATAAGCCTCAGCAAAAAGCTGGTGAACATTATTCTTTTTAGTTATTCTTAGATTATAAAATATTAATTATTATTTCTTTTATTGTTGCCACAGTTGTATTTAAATAGAAATATTAAAAACAGTACGACTTTTTTCAAGTGTGTTTCAAGTATGTGTTTCGTTTGCAGCCTTCTTTTCAAATAAATATACAAAACTGAAAAATTTTCCCTTTCCGATTGATAATGTTGTTTATTTTGCACTTCGAAATTTGAATATAATATATTTCACAGGTTTTTTTAATTGCGAAATATACGTGATATTTCTGATTTCAAATTATAAGCTGCTGTGAGAGATTTTTATTTTCACAACATTTATATTTTAAAAATTCTTTAAAGGAATCGTTTTAAAAATGTCATAAATCTGTATTAATTTAGGAGATACACGATTTCTATTATTCGGCTGCAGCCGAACAAAATTAAAGCTCACATGTATGTGGGCTTTATTTCATATGTCTATTTATTAATAATTTTTTATTTCATGACTTTTTCAAAGAAATTTAAACAGGAAACATTTTTTTTAATTTAATTTTGTTATGCTCAATGGTTTGCATTTGGAAATAGAAAAATAGTAGGGATCTTAAGTTTGACTAGCGTTTATTTTGTTTTAAAACTTTACTGTCCTCTTTTATTTTCCACTTCCAGCCAGAATAAACGCGTTAAATTGTTTATGCAAATTGTACTTTCTAAAGCGTAAGTATTTAAGTTGTGGCCTTTCACCAAGAACAGAGTTAGACGGGGACAGAGCCTCTTGCCACTATACTTCACGCGAGCGTGCAATCAGTTGCTGTCCGCCTTTAAGTTTAGGTTTAGTCCTTTGAAATCTAAAGACGTATTGTAGTTTTCAGCAGTTTGCGTACTACAGAGCCCCATAGTATTATGCAGAAAAAGAAAATTTCCACCGATTTTAAAGCTTGCCAATTCGCTATCAATTACAGAAAACTGAAGACTATAATAAAATATCCGGTTTACTGCTTACAAATAACTAATGAAATAATACGGAAAATTAAATCTACATAATATATGACTCATCTTGATCTCAAGTCTAGATATTTCCAGATCTGTGTGAAACCGAAGAGCAGGCCGAAATCTACATTTATTGCTAAATCATAGGTTTATGCCTTGTTTAGATCGTCGTTTGTCCCATGCGGAGTCTTCACTACATTTTAACAGCAAAGGACATAATTTTAAGGTCTGTACTTGGTAAATTAACATTCATATTCTTAGGTGATATAGCAGCCACAAGTAATACAATTGATGAGGCTACTGAAGATCGGTTCGAAGTTTTTCGGCTTCTAAAGGAAGCAGGTATAAAAGTTACTGTGGTAAAATGTAAATCCAACGGCCAAAGAACTTTGGTACCTGGGGTATAAGATATCTAAGCAGGGAATAGAAACAAATAATTCAAAGATTACAGCTATGAAAAATTTTCCGCCACCTAACATGACTGGCATTTTTTAGGATTTGTGCTCATATTATAGAATATTCATTTTTGCTCACATAGCAGAGTTCTTGCTAAATATAAAAAAGAAAACGGCTAGATTCGCTTCATTGGCGGAAGCGATCACGGCTTTTGAAAAGTTAAAGTTGCATTAACGCAAGCGGCCCCATCTTGAAATTTCCTGAAGGGGACATCAAATTAGAAATCGCCGAAAATGTATCTAATATCTCAGTAAGAGCCGTGCTTAGGCAAGACAGATAGCCGATAAAATATTTTAGCAAAACACTTATTCCAGTTCAGAGAAGTAACACTGCTACCGAGAAAGAAACATTAGCGGTGCTACTGGCCGTTCAGAAATTTCGTGTTTAATATGGCAAGAAACCTATTACCATATAAACCGACCAGCGGCTATCGTTAAGTCTGTATTCCAAAAAAAAATATTTTTTCAATTATATATTTTTTTATCATAAATATTGAATATATATTTTTTCAATCTATATAAAAAATATTTTTTCAATATTTTTTATCAATTACAGCTCTGCCGGGTACTGAAATAACACAGAAGTCACATTTGCTAACGGAATCTTAGGAATTAATCTGTTTACCAATAAAGTGAGAAAAAATAAAAACCGATATTTGTTAGTGCTTGTTGATCATTTCTCGAAGTCGATAGAAATAATTTCCTTCAGAGTCCGCGATAATTGTTGCACATATTTTTAAAAATAAATTTGCAACTCCAAGTAACTCGTAGATCAGATTCTTGAGGAAATGTGTAAGGCTCCGCATATTAAGCATTTTAAAATGGTCTCTTATTGACTACAGTTAAGCCCACCAGCGGCCGAGCGGTAAAGATGCTGAACACTGGTAGTTCGGTGCGAGGTTAGAATCCCGCGAACGGGCTGGCTGCTTTTGCGTTTTTGTGGTTTTCCCGATGTGTAACGTGTATACTAGTCAGTTTCCCTTAGAAAGTCCTCCACGAAGGCACCCCTCCCTTTAGGCAGATAGCCCTCGTTGTGCTTTGCCATAACTGAATAATCCCAAATCCCAGAATTACCACAGTTAAATATAGTAGAGCGGGGAAATAGAGACATATTTAAAACTACCCTCACTTATTCGAGAAATGACCGCCAACGCTGGGATAACTAACTGTGTTAATGAACTCGCCTATACATTAGGATAAGTTAAGCACGATACCACCAGTAAAACGTCTTCTGATTTAGTTTTTGTCACGAATTTGATTACACCTCTCGATAGACTGTTTTTTTGTTGCAAAGTGTTCAGAAGAATTTAAGTTGGAAAAAACTGAGAAACTAGTGGACGAGAGACCGTGCAATTCAGATATGGTTCATGCAAAACAAAGTTTTTTTTTTTATGAGAAAGATCGATTTTAAGGTGGTTTAAAAATTATGCATTCACTATCTAGTCCACCAGAAGGAAAAGCATTTAAATTCAAATGCAGTTTTTTTAATCGAGTAAACTAGAGAAATAGTTTGATACTTAAAAGGAAAGAATGACGAGTCGGTGAGAGAAAGCCTGGATCAGAAAATATATGAGTTGGCATAAAAGCTGTATTGCAGCTGATATGCGAAGAATCTCCTGGCATGAGCAGAGCAGGTTATCGGAAAATTCGGTTAAATTAATTCGGAAAATAAAGGCAAAATGTGTTGTTGATAGTATGTAATGCAAATGAAAATTAAAAGCTAGCATATTGTGAATGTGCGTTTTTAAAGTCAGGCTCTCCAGTCACCGCTGATAAAGTTAAATGAATATAAGTTAAGTTAATGAGTTTAACGATACCCTGCTTTTCATGATTAGCAAACGCGGGAGTCTAAATTCAGTTCACGCTGAATGAAAAGTAAAGATAAGTTATAGTTTGAGTATATTATTAACTGATTCAAAATTTTGAATTTGAAATGCGAAAATTGAAATATATATATATATGTATATATAGTAAAAGCGATAATGACACTCATGTGCAAAATTATCTTTACATTAATGAAATCAGAGATTTCTTAGAAACTATGAACTATAATTTTTACGAATTTGAATACATAATATAAGATATAAACAGAAAAGAAAAAATATAAGAATACTGCATGATGTAAAACTTTAAGGCTTATGAATTTGAAATTCTAGTTAAGATCTGGTGTATCTATTGATTCTATTCATGTAGGAATTCGATTAACAGGTAATTGCTGAAATACTTCAATTTGTGCTTATTGTTTTATCCAACGGAAAGCTTAAGAGTTTGGTGAAATAAACGTAAAGAGAGAAAACGTGAATTGCGAAAAGTTATTGTGCGTGCACATCGTATATTTCGTATTTTCTAGTAAACTACTTTTCTTTCTAAATTCATGGAAAGAGATATGAGACAAAGCCTGAGGGATTCGAAAATATAAATTTAAATTGAGCTTTTTAGAATGTGAATTTATTTGTAAGAGCTTAAATGAGTTTTTGTAGTGCACAAGCTAACTTATATTAGAATTTTAAAAATAACCTTAGTTTCCAATTTGTTTAGATTCTGGTGGATAGAAATATACTGCTTTATGCTAATTAACCGTTTATTATGATTTGAAGTTTTACGACAACTTCTTTCTGTAGTCCTCAGCAGAATGTAAATTAGTTGTAGCATATTTAAGCCCAGGGTTTGAATGTTTAATAGAGCGCTTTTGGCAACACTGCTGCCAGTTTGAGTCAACTCGCATCTTCCTTTGAGAAAGTTTATTCCGACTTTAACCATCTTACCAGCCGATTTTAAAAGTGCTCCGTCAATTACTTGAGCCATCTTAAGTAAACAACTATGTGTGTCGTCTCAAACAACGTTACTTTAATTTAAAGTTCCAGTTTATGTTATTTTAAATCATACGAAAGTGGCTGAATTTTCTTCTGTAGCACTAAATTTCACTAACGTTTTGCTAAATTTCATTAATAAAAATGAGATAATATAATAAGAAAAATAATAAATAAATAAAAAAAAATCTGAAAGGTTTCAGATTTTAAATTACGTCCAAAGGGGCGTTTTTTTTTAAAGGTAGCACAACGTTTTGTGTGCTACCTTTATTTATTAAATATCATGTTCTCTGCACTTAAACCATAAAATTCAGTTCAATAGCAATGTCGCAAAATAATTTTAAAATGAGCATATCTTTAGAATTTCCGATACACAGTTCCGCGCGCTGGAGATAATTTTTTTTTTTTTTTTTTTCTTTTCCCCGGTAGTGTTGCCATTACTCGCTTTGAAATCCTTGAGTTTGTTAATAAAAAATTCGTAGACATACATTTATGCAGATTTTTCGTTATTTAATTTCTTCAAATATAATGCAAGCCCACCAGCGGCCGAGCGGTAAAGACGCTGAACACTGGTAGTTCGGTCCGAGGTTCGAATCCCGCGAACGGGTTGGCTGCATGGGCGTTTTAGTGGTTTTCCCCATGTGTAACGTGTATACGAGCCAGTTTCCCTTAGAAAGTCCTCCACGAAAGGACATCCCTCCCCTTAGGTAGATAGCCCTAGTGTGCTTTGCCATAATTAAATATACCAACACCAACATTCAAATATAATGCAGGACTTTAACATTTGGTGGCAGCAGTTTGAAAAGTGAAACGGACGTTTATAATGATTCAACGCAAAATCGCAAAAAGAAAACAATAGTCCTTCGGGTCCAAAGCCTCTTTGGACTTAATAATATAATAAAATAAATAATAAGATTAATAAAAAGATTATTTCGACCTTTATAAAACGTTGTTATTCTGTTTCATGCTAAAGTGATAACTCGCTTGTCACTTTAGTAGTGTCTGAAGATACTGAACTAAGTTTCTATACAAATAGAATCCTCCAAATATTTGCGTTTCTCTCTCTCTCTGTCTTTTTTTTTTTTTTTTTTTTTTTTAATATAATTAACAAAAATTGTCATATGCTCGTTAGAATAATTCGATTGAGAATAAACTTTTAATAATCGGTTTAGAATAATCATTTGCGTCCCTGTTAACAACAAGTTTAATTCGATTATTAAATACATTTCTTAATTAAATTACTTTTCATGAAGTAGTATGTCAGTAATTCAGAAAAGCTATGCAAAAACAGTATGCCTTTTATGGATGTTTATTAACAAGATCTTATTCGTTGCTACTTTATTCCGAATGATGTAGGCTTCATATAATACTTTTATAAATAAAATTCTATTATATTTAGCAAAATGTTTTCACCACATTTTCTCATTCATTATCAGTTTTAAGTCTGTTCATCAGAATGTAATTGAAGTAAAAGATTATAACTTGGCTAATCGGAAGAATAAGTTTTTTTATTGAAACTTGGAAAAAAAAAAAAAAAAAAAAAAAAAATAAAAAAAAAAAAAAAAAAAAAGATGGATAATTTGCTACGTAGCCGTCTTACATAGTTTCTATTTTAAGTATTTTAATTTACAATATGTAAATTTTTAAAATCAAAACTGTACTAGAGCTTTTGATAATTAGTGGCTCTTTCGTATTAAAAATAAATTTTAAGAATGCTTTGGCTTCTCTTGTTTTTCGTATTAATTCAAACGGAAACGTCTACATTTAAAAAAAGCGCAATATAATCTGTTTTAAGTCAAAATAAATGCCGTAAAATGGGAATTAGACTTACATTCAAACTGTTTTAACTCAGATCCGAGGGAACTGCGTAAATATACTTCAATGTAATTTCATTTCTCATGAATTTGGGGTCCAAAGTGTTTGTTTATAATAAATTTTATCTGATATAAAATTTCGTAATATTTCTTAGATTTAAGTTTTGCTAATTAAAATATTCGAAGAGAAATATTCATTATAGTTTATGTCTTTTTTATTGAGATTGTACTTAATTTTTTTAAAAATTCAACATAATTTTTTTCCAAATAGTGACTGATGCAATCAACGGTCTTCCATGGAAAGAACAAAGACGATTTTCAATGCAAATGCTGAGAGATTTAGGCTTCGGGAAACCTCGCATGGAAGAACTAATAAGAGTTAATAACAATTTTTTCCTTTTTCTTAATTCTTTAAACTTGTGCAAGAACAAATCATCAGAGACATTTTAAAGAAACAAAATCACTCGGGCAACGAATATAATCAAATTTGTTTTAGCTGTATTTTTTTAACACACATTTCGTAAGAAATATCTAGATTTCCTTCTGTTTCAAGCTTTTGAAATTTATTAATATTTTATTAGATTAGGTTTAAAGCAAAGCAACATCAGATTATTAGAGAAAATAATGTTTATATTGTGATGTGTTTCTAAATATGAGAAACAAAGTCAAACAAATGAAAATGTAGATTTTATTATCTTCAAAATAAAAAAATCTGATGTGTACACCACATGACTTCCTTGTACGGAACATTAAATTATACGCATTTTTTTCTTGAATTTCATTTAAACTTATTGGATTGAATTAAATCTACTTCGTAAATAACGCATAAACCACAATAGAATAAATGCACTCTTTAAAATTCACTGCATTTTTTTACCATAGCGACACTCTGGCGCTAGGTTCACTTAAAAGCGTTATATTTCGTTCATATTATAACTCAGAGTGCACAAAATTTATATCATTTGAAGAATTATCTAATCGTTGCCACATGTCCTATTCAAATACTATAATAAGTTTGGAACGATGTATAAAAGAAATTAAGCAAACAAAACAAAAAAGACTGCAAGGTATGTAAATATTGATTCATTTATTTCACTGCAAACTTTACGCCTATTTTTTAACCTTATTCATTTGAAAAACTATGTAAGGTAAAATAGTGAAAGTCCTGCTCTTCTAACGAAGAAATCCAGAATATTTTGGTATATCTCCTTCATAACTAAAAACCCCAGTATATTCACTTTTTTAAAAGAAGAGTTTTTAATGATAAAATATTGCACTTATTGGTTAGTATTAGTAAAATTTTTATATCTGCTTATCAATTTCAAAAAGAAGATAAAATAAAAAAAGGACAATAGAATTATTTACTTCTTAGCACAGATTTGTTTCCAATGTAAACCATCTTGCTATGTTAAAAAATTTATTATACAAACGATTTAAATCATTTTGTTTCTAAAATTTGTTTAAAATTATGTTAAATACATAAAAGTAGACAAGGTTTCGTTGTTTTCTAACCTCAATTTTATAATGTTTCGCAGAACACTTAGTAACTGTTTGCAAAACATCAGTATTTCGCGGAACACTATTTGGGAGACGCTGCTGTGGATAACAATAGTTATGCTCCTGGAGAATCCTGGAGAAGGCATGTTTGTATTTGTAAGGTGGCCCACTTATTAGGTGCCTCCAGAATAAAGTGATCACAGCTTCTGGCCTTAGTAGCGGCCAACGTCTGCGGACGGTTTGGGCCCACCACTGGAAACAAATACTGAGTTTTAAACTGAACTCGTTTCTTCGAAATTTTTATATTATTATCATACATATTTTTCATATCATTCTTTCATATTTTCGTACTCATCCAGATTGATCAGTTGATTCCGAAAGGATTATAATCTTAAAACATAATTTTTGATTTTCCTTAGCGCTCTGCTTTTTATTTTATTTGAAGTTACAAGATTCTTTAGCTCATAAAAATTATTGTTTTTAAAGTCCTTGTAATCCATTCCTCAAAATAATTAACCGCTTTCTTTCTTTCTTTCGATAATTAGTCGTTTTATTATATTATCTTAAGCGTGAGGTTTAATAATTGAACACAATAATTTTGGAATACAGCGAAAAGATTAAAACGAACATTTAAAACTTTGTTTATTTGTTATTAGGAAGAAATCATCGACTTAACAGATCACATTGAAAAATCTGAAGGAAAACCAATAGAAATGAAGCCTCTTTTGTCTCCGAGCATGTCCAACAATATAGCTACTTTAGTTTTTGGAAAGCGCTTGCCGTTTGATGATCCAAGACGTAAAATGTTGGACTATGTTGTAAGTGAAACCTCGAAACAGGCTGGACAAGTAATATGGCAGCTTTTCTTTCCAGGATTAGCAAAAGTCTTAAATTTCTTGCATCTGGGAGGTACAAGTGGACTTTCTAAATTAAATATGATGCTGAAGGAGTATATCGGGTATGTATTTTACTTATAATTCTAAGTACGTATTTAAAATACGGGATACAATTTTCATTTGTCTCAAAGATTAATAAAATTAGCAACAGCATTCCTTGGAACCGGTTCTTAGAGTTTTAAGTTTTAATGATTTTTCATTTTCAATGATAACAATGATTCTAGTTTTTGTAGGTTTTAGTATTTATTTTTATTGGTAGTCGTCAATTCAATGCTTCTGCATGATCATATTCATTTTATCAATGTAATCTTGTAACGTATGACTGCAATTCATTTCTATTTATAATTAAGTTTTGGATTGACTTAAAATCTTTCCGTCTTTGGTATTACAGACGATTAGTAGCGTGAGAACACAAACTAAAACTTATTAATGGAAAGTCTGTACGAACTTAAAATATATAGATTAAAACTTATTGCAAATCTTGCAGAAATTTCATCAGTAATTGTAATTATAATTGCAAAAATTTTTTATAAGGCTGAGATGACGCCTAATCTACAGGATAGATGGAAACTTATATAAATTTAATCGAGAGATAAGAGTCGTTAGAGAAAAACATGTTCGTTAATGAACATGTTACTGCAAGCTTTACCTTTTGATTTTAAGCTGTAATACACAAAGGAAAGACCTAGAATGTAATTATACTTTTCTCATTTTATTATCTACGGCACAACAGGACCACATCATAAAAATGTATACAATCCTAACAGAACTATTCAGCATCCCTTAGGATACTATCTGCATGCAATCTTATAGCATTTCTACCACTGTTAATAAGAGAACTATATTTTATATGCATATTAACTGTTTTGGCACACATAAAATATTTCATGCTAGATGAAGGAAATCGGCGTTACTAAGACGAAGGCTGAAACCTTAATGGTGAAGTCCGAAAACTTAACGGCGAAGGCCGAAAATAGCCGACGTTACATCTTCTTTCGCTCTCTTACCTAAGGGTGACGTCTGGTAACATGGATTTTAATATTCAACTACCCTGCTTAAAGTTTACTTAAAGTTTGTCATTCGAAAAAATGCAACGTCGAAGTACCTGAAGATTCAATTCTATCGAAAATTATCCTTGCGAATAATGTCAGCCGAAGATGATATATGCTGAATGGTATCTCAAATACACGAACATGAAGTGCAAGTGAATAGTAAAAAGAAGTAATAACACTCTTAAGCTGGTAAAACAGACTATGAACAGGTGAAAAAAGCATGAAGATCATTCTGGTATGCGTGAGAATTATGCACTTCGCGTAAAGCTGAGAATGTATTTCATATTTGTCACGTTACACTGTCTATGGTACAATACAGGAGCACAACATGAAAGATTCATACATCTATAATAATAAAAACATTTAGTATCTTCTGGAGTGCATTTCGTGATGCAGTCTTATAGCTATTTTTGTTTTCAATGAAAGTACCGTACAACCATATTCTATAAAAGTCAGTCAAAAAGTAACGTGCATTAACTCAGTAATATTAAGAAGTAGAGAAATGGAATGTTGTAGGCAGAAGCAATGGTCCTTCAGTCCTTTGAAAATGTCTTTCATCATACATGATCAATTAATTTGCTTTACAGCACTGCAACCATACTTGTTTACATGAAACGAGTGTGCGTCCATTCTATCGACTGCTTCAGGATTCAAATGAAACAACTAGGTTTCATCCCGCCTAGTGACTCATTGTGAACATTCTGGATAATCCCAAGAAAACTTTGAAGATCACCATCCCACATGTTCTTCCTTCTTTTTTCAAGAGCTTTAGAAACCAGCGAAAGCGAATTCTTTTGTACCCTAATCGTTGAATTAGCTTTAAAAAAGATTTTTTTGCCAGACCTACATGCTTCATGATCTGCATAGTGAAGCATTTGTCATTTTAGGTGAGTTCCACAGTGAATGATGCGTTTTCATCGGTTGTGACGGTTGACGATCTGACTAACCACAGCTGTCCTAAGTATTTCGGTCATCATCCTGAAACTTCTGAAGCCATTAACACAGATTACTGCAATTCATTGCGTCGTCTTCATAGATTAACAACAGCTTACTGTAAATTGGTGTTGTTGAATTATTCCCGGAATTGTTTCAAAATTCGATCACTGCACATTGGGTAGCAGGTTGATCATCCACGGCAATCTTATTTGCAACAAAAAGAAATAAAATTAAGCGCATATTAGGCGGTAAAAGACAAAATCTTGTATCCAAAATTTCTTTTATGTAATGCTTACCATTATGGAGCTACAATGCATTTCTTTTTGACTGACCTTGTAAATGTATATTATCTATTTCAGTATTTTTATGCTTTAACACCAGACAGTTTATTCTGGATTTTCGCTTTTAAATTATCGTTTTCCAGTAGCCTGAGAGAATCCCGAGTTAGGAACCTAATAAAGAGGAAAATTCATTACTCTCTGCGAAAAAATCCAAGGTCGATGAAGATAGAGGCAAATATCTTGTGTGAACCCAGAGTTAGGCTACGTCCGCATAAACGTTAGGGGACAAACTATCTTTCATTAATTTAAACACTTCTATTTTCTATCATCTGTTTCAAGAAATTTTATTCGTGCAAACTGTAGTTCCTCCAAGAACGTTTGGTTTTTTTGGCACTGTTTAGAAGTTTCTGAAAGGAACCTGCGATATCCTCTATCTTTCAGAAAATCAATGATCGATTCGTAATTGATGTTCTCCTGTGCATGCAGAACAAAGTTTCTGTTGGCGACATTTTTCTGCATTCAGAAGCTCTTGGGAATTAATGTTTATTTGATGAAGTATATTCCTGAAAATTTTAGTTTAGAATTTCAGAAACAAAGGACATTATTTAGATATTACTGTGTGTCCGATTTAAATAGTATTATTTGAAGAGTTCATAGGTTTAGGTCAAGTGTTCTTGCTTGCTTTCTAGGCGAATTATATCTTGTATCCAGTTCGTCCGCAGCCAAAACATATCACGTTGTTCTTTCTTGGTTGGTACATTTTGATCACGATATTTAGAACATCAACTTCTTCATGGAGTAATCTTATGCTCTGTATCTGTGAGCCCAGCCTAGAGAAAAATGCAGGAAGCATCTTGGGTGTTTGCTTCGAATTTCTGGAGAAATGTTTAAATTTATGACAAGGAAACCCGTTCAACAAAGTTTTCGTATAATATTCTATCTGGTTCATTAGTTTTCTACAGACAAATTATGCTAAATTGCTTGTCCTTCTTCTTAACGCAAACTAACTTTCTTTCGAGGACAGGGAAAATTAGAAATAAGTTTCATTCTTCTTTTGTCAGGGTTCTTGTAAACGACATCTTTGCTGGGAAACAATGGAATGGATCTCATATTTGCTTGGGGAATCTCATATTTGCTTGTGCAGACCGCTTGGGGAATTTATTCCTTCTTTCTATCATGTGCAGAAGCCGACTTTATTTCTTGGTACTTATCAAGGGATGTAAATGGCTTTTCACGGGAAGGTGGGGAGTCCACAGGGTTTCTTCAGCAATTCTCATGGGGGTATTCCACACATCCATAGTATCTCGACGACGTATTTTCATGTGTTTTCCTTAAAATGGTGCTTTGCGCCCTATTTTCGTTTAGCTGAAAGTGATCGTCTTCCTCATCTATAAAATTTCTCTTCATCGTTTTTTTGCTTCGCCATGGAAATATCAGACTTAGCGACATTAATGTTATCTAATTCCATTTCGTAAGAATTCGGGTTTTCCTCTAGGAAACTTTTATCAATGATCGTGGGAAAATACACGAGCAGAATGATCCTTTCATAACATAACTACGTCGGACAGAGATCTTCTGTTAATAGCGTGCATTGGATCCATTTTGTAAAATAATAGAGACAATACAGGGATTCATAATTATCCGTCATGCAATGGCAGATGTGAGCAACCGATCTCAGGGCTCTTGAAATCTTTCGTATTAACTGTATGAAATTAGCATTAATAATACTGACGACAAAAAACTGTCAATTTCCCACCAGTGCTTTCTGTTAGTAAAGAATCATTGGGTGTCCTACTACATTTCCACCTGAACCTGAACCTGTTAGTAAAGAATGACATCTGCTAACATGCATTTTATTATTCTTTATTTCCCGGAAATTCGTAAACAGTTTATGAGATTTAATAGAAATGTTGTAACACAAATGTATTTGTTCATATAACCCACCTCTCCAAGTTATGTCAGTTTATTCGGGTTGGATCTACCGAGAAAACAGCATTTTCAATTTTCTTGCTAAACTATATACATAAAATTTTGAAAAACAGTATTCATCTAATATTAAGTAAAAATAAATTTTTAAAATTTCTTTACTCAATGGGATTGGTGTGATTGCCCATTATTGAGTAATTGCTAGAGTTTTCCTTACGATGCTTTTAAAAATGTTCAGAAAATTACAGGAAGAAAACAAGCGATTTTGCAACAAAAATAGTTTCACAGTGGAACTGTCATGAACTATAATTATTACAATATCTGTTTATGAGAGGGATTCAATGAATATCTTGACTTTTATTTCAGTAGATCTTCAGTTATCACTAATTTTACATGTGTAAGGCGAAAGTATCGTATTTATCTCTGACAATTTCATACCTTCTTCCATTAATACTACTATGCGCATATTGTCAAATAATAGACTATTAGAGTACTTTGAAACTTTAGCTATAGGATATAAAGAATGCACACTTTTATCTTACTATTTTCTTTCTTTCAGTGAAGAAGTAGCAGAGCACGAAAAAACGTTAAATGAATCAGATATTCGAGACTTTATTGACGGCTATTTAATAGAAATTCGTAAGCGAAATGATCCAACATTCTGCAGTGAGTATATATCATTTTATTCCTTAAATTAACTTGGGCAGCTGAAATAAAGCATTTAAAATGGCCTGAAAGACAATTTGAAATGTAGCCTTTCTTTAATATTTTTATATTTTCCTTAAGTAGTTTTGTTCGAACATATAAGACTTTTTATCTAAACCAGATTAATTATGATACGACATTTTAAGCATTTGCATCATTTTTGTTTAAATTATTGGTTTTCGTCTCCTTATCAGAAAGCCAAATTTAAAAAAATCTGATGTAGTATACACCACATAACTTCCTTGTACGGAATATTAAATTATACTCACTTTTTGATGCATTTTATTTAAACGTATATTCATTAGAGATATATTTCTCATTCAATTAATTCCGTAACCTCAAAATATCTTCATTAAAAATTGATAAATATAGAAAAAAATAAAACACCAAATACAGTGAAAACAATCAAAGAAACAATTTTTACAATTAAAATTAGAGTTTCTACGCAAAAACAAGCAATTTGGCCAGCAGACAACAAGGCAGATTTTTTTAATTTCCGTCCCACTCGGAAAAAAAGCACTGAAGGTGCAGAAACTGAATTCACTATTCTGCTAAGTTTCAAAATGTAAACAAATATAGCTGCTATAGTAAGCAAAAATTAGGCTTAGCCACACTTAGACAATATTTAAATTCGTGATAATTCTGCAACTATTGCATGTAGATTAAATAAAGCCATAAAAAACCTTAAACGGAAAGTTTGAACAGCATAATTCAAAAGCAAAAAAGGCGAAATTTACCATCATATAAGAATAAAAAAAATGAGTTCACTGAGCCGAGTAGCAGAGTGGGTATATATATATATATATATAAGTAGAAAGTAGTAAATCATCAAAATGGGAGACCTAGTTGGTCAAAAATTGTGCGTTGAGCTGCAAATTTTAAAAAAGATTGATAAGAAAAGGAAAGGTAAAAATTAGCTAAAGCCGTAAAGAACATTTGAACTACCTAATTCTAACTACGTAACTGAGTTGGATGAGTTCGACGAAACGTGCCTGTTTTGTTTTTGTGGGTCATCAACTCGGTTGAGGGGATTCACTTTTCCTTTGGTAAGTTCTGTTTGAAGCCTTGAACAGAGAAGATGGACCATGTTTCTACGTGTAAAATTTCTCAGTATTATGTAAATTGTAAAGGTTTTTTTCGCGTACCAAGTTTGATTTTGTTGTATAGGTTTTTCTAATTTTTTTAGTATAATAAGTAAGTTCTTTGGCGTACAATTTATTGCTTTAAGTTAGATTTTGTTATTTTAATTTTGTTTTACATGTAATATCAGGAATTAAGTAGTTCAAATAGTTCAGATGTACTTTACGGCTTTAGCTAATTTCTACCTCTCCTTTTCTTGTGAATCTCTCTCTATATATACACGTTTGGTGTGGCCGATTGCAAATGAAAAAGGAGGTGCACAACTATATATAATAGCAGTCCTGTATACAAATTTTCAACGTTCTGAGGCTACTCGTTTTTTGAGTTATGCGAAATACATACGTACATACGTACAAGACGTGCGCACAGATGCCACGAAAAAAAAAATCTCTTTTGAATCCATTGTAATCAGTTTTCTAATTCGTTTGGGGAAAAAGAGTCCTTTATTCTGTCCTTACGTACACATGTCACGCCAAAACATCATTAAATTGCATTCGCTAGCCGTAAAAATGGATACTTTCGTTGAAATATGATACACGGAATTTTTCGTGATTACAGTACTTCCTTTACTTCGTACAAGGAAGTAATAATATGAAAGCGCTACCTGAAATAAAATGTCAAATAAAGTAATATTAAATTGATTTTGTTTTTGAAGAAAGAAAACATAACCTAAATTTTAATTTATCAAATTAATTTTTATGAATATAATTGACTTTTAGGAAAAAATTATATTTTCTTTCAATAAGTATATTTTAATCAGCATTTTCAATTTAGTTGGAAATGAAGGAAAGGCTCTTACGCTCAGATGTATCTGCGGCATATGCCGCTTCGTTTTAGAATAATTTGAAAGATATTTGTAGTTTGAGAAAAATATGTATGTTTTAGTGTACACTGAATAAAGTTAATATGATTTTTATTCTGTTTTTATTTTAAATTTGGAAGGCAAGAATGGAATGATTATTTCATATCCTATTAACTTCATGTAATGTATAAATTAATGGATTTGAATTATCTTTTGTTAGATGTTAACGATCTTTTAGGTGCACTGTAAAAGAGCATTTCTTATATGCATTTCATTAGTTACGAGTACCATCTGTATAATGATCGCTAATGCTCTGAGTTTAGAAGTAACATTTTGACGCTTTCTTAAAACCCTTGATGCCAATTAAGGTTTTTTTTTATTCTATGTCCTAATTTTTATCTGATGTTAAATAGTTATTTAAGCAGTTTCATTTAAGTTCATGTTTATCTTTTTTCCTTATTTTGTAGACTTCTTATAACAATTGATTTATAAATTTATTAAATAAATTATAAATTGAAATCAAATATTAAACAAACACGTGTGCTGTTAAAGCTTTTGGAATAGAATTTTATACAAGTATTTTAGTTCTTGTGGATTTGCATTATGTGTTGGATGTTATTCTATTTTTATAACAGGGCCAGTTCTGATCGATGTTGTTGGAGCATTTTTCGGTGGGGGAAGTGAAACCGTTCGTACGACACTGGACTGGTTGTTACTGACTATGGCAGGCTACCCAGACGTACAAAAGAAAGTTCAGTTTGAAATTGACGAGGTAATCTCTCGAGAACGCATGCCTACGTATAGTGACCATCTCCAAATGGCATACACCGAAGCAACCATCATGGAACTTTGGCGATGGCGAACTATTATACCTATTAATGTTGTCAGATAGTAAGTTCGCTAAAATGATGATTTTGATAATAGTCTCAATTTATTGATTTAAAGTCTCAGTTATTTAAAGTCATTAATCTCTATTAATCTTAAATCTTGAAAATAAAATTCACAACAGTTCTAGCAAGTTAAGTTGTTACGCCATACGTGTAAATAATTTTTCTTTCTTTAATGCAGAATATATGACAATCTTAAACATTTTAGGATGTGGTGCCATGATTAAAACAAATTTTTAACGATGTAAATGTACACTTCAACACAAATCATTGTTTCGGAGAAAAAATGACGCAAATGAAAGTAACATGCATTTTTTAAGGAACTGAACACATGAATGCAGATCATGTAGAACTGTAGTTAGAAAATTAAACAGTTGCTAAAACTGCGAACAAATATTACGGTTAACATATTTCCTTTGCTTTTTAAATAGCGTTATTTAAAAAGAGATGCCGTTAATATTCCTTTCCACCTTTGCGGTTATGTCACTATTCACCGATCTTACAAAATAAGTTTTCTCAAAACATCTTAAAAGCATCAATTTTAGGGATAACGACTGAAATAATTTTAGCTCATTTTATGTGGTGATTTCTGTTCTTTTTTTTTTTTTTTTTTTTTTTTTTTGAAATAAATTTCGAAAATTAGTTTTTATATTAAAAAATTCATACATTAAAAAATTCACATAAAATTTTGCGATTTCCTTGTACGCTGTTTATCTGTTTTGAAATGAGAGTTTTTAAAATACTCTAAAACGTAAAATAATGGAAATGTGAGGCAATTATCTGAATATGACTTTTGTTCAAGGAAACTTTTCAAAATGCCATTCCTTCTGTTTTTTTACTATAATGGAAAAATGTTTTAAAATACGAATACCTAAATTGATATCTTGCTATTTGCTACGTAAATTAAGTAAAAAATGTAGTTACGTTTTGCTGTTGGACTTCACATCGTCGAAGGTTAATTAAATATTGTTTTTCCAAGAGAACAAACTAATCAACTTTTTTTCCAATTAGGTTTTAAAAAAGAGTTTTGGAAAATACTTTTAATGGTGCAGAAACATTTAAAGTTCTGTTTAAGATATGGATGTGTTTTCAAACTTTTCCATTTGGAGTGAAAGTTTATAAAAGTCTACAGTAAAGCATTAATACATTATATATGAAAAACACAATCTCTTGACGTATTATTCCAACATTATTTTGCTGTTCCTACCAATTCTATTAATTTTCCTACCAAGTCTATTAATTTTATTTTAACTAAAACTATATCTGTTTGCTTAGGCTTGATGCTTTTGATAATCCAAGAATTTTATAACAAATGAAATTAGAAAACACAGTCTGTTTATATCTCTGATTCTCCTCAAATTTGCAATTCTCTCCTTTTCTGTGACATCTAAAAGATACTAATTTGAATACCTGGGTTAAAAAAAGGAGATTAAAAGTTTAAAAGAATTCAATTTACGGTACAGAAAGCTTTAACGCTCTAAGTATTCATTTTAAATTAACAGTATTTTTACAGTATTTTTGATATTGATATTATGATATTATGATTTTATGATATTATGATTTGATAGTATATTTGATTTGATTTGATATTTTTGATTTACAGTATTTTACAGTATTTTTGATAGTTTTGATATTGTTTAAAATCTAGTAGAACATTTGAAATAATTTGTCATCCTATGTAAATGTAAGAAAATATCGAATTAAGAGGTTGCTTTGAGAGCTGTATGACTTTATTTTCACTTGCTATGATTTAATAGAATTACTATGATTTAGTTGTTTTCATTTACTATTGTTGAGTGATAATTGTAAATTTACTGATGCCTAAAAATTTCCAGCTTCCATATTAAAATATTAAGTTATACTAGGACTAATTTGCTGATTTTATAAAATTAAATTTAGTTGGTCACTTGAAATAAATGAAGTAAGTAATAGTCACAGAATAAAGCAGCGTGCATATTTTTAATGCATTGCTTAAAGCATTCCACATATTTCCAAAAGTTATAATTAGTAATATGTTATTGACTTCACATGAGGGAAAGAATCAAATAACTATGTAATGTCTATCTTGAGTTCAACTAAACCTGGTCAGCTCACTTACAATCGACTTTAAAATACGCATAACTATTTTCCCTTCATTTACAATTGTAACGTTTGTCTGAGAACAAGAAATGGCCTTGAAGAGCTTATTTTAAAGTAGCAAGCTATAGTATGAGTTATTAAATAAGTGTCTATTTAAATAATCCCTTTTATTGTCAATGCTTAAGGCAAAATCCTTAAATTAAGGAATTTGAAAATCGCTTTATATAAAACATAGCTTAAAAAATGAATTCTTTTGAACAAATGTTGTAGACGCTAAACAGTACCTACGTTTCAAAAAGAGAACATATGCTTAAGTTTCATTCTAAAACTAATTTGATGTTACTATGTAGATTGTTTATATTTTAATAATGTTGCCTTATTAAACTTTATACCTTAAATTAATATGAATACCGTCTATTGGATTCTGAATCACCAGAATTAATTTTAAAGAATTAATTTTTAAGAAAATAAATGCCCGTATATTATACCATATATTATTTCAAATCTTTTAGCACTCTTGCAGATGCAAAAGTGAAGAGCTTCTTCATTCCAAAGGATTCTTTTATCTTATCCAACTTATGGGCAATCCATCATAACCCGGAATATTGGGGTGAAGATGCAGAGCTTTTCCGCCCGGAAAGATTTTTGACTGAAGATGGCAAGGAAATAAAGAAAATAGAATATTTAATTCCATTCTCAATTGGTAAGACATTGTTCTTATTTTAAAAATTAGATGAAGACGCACATTATGTGACTTGATAAATCTTTAGTATTTATTATGAATGATATTAAAGATACTCTTTAAATGATATTAAAGATACTCTTTAAAGATACTCTTTAATATCATTCATAATAAAAACTAAAGATCCTCTTTAATATCATTCATAATAAATAGCTCTTTTTTTCTTTATTAATAGTGTCACAATTGTGTTTCACAGATTATTTTCTAGATTTCTAGAATATAAAATTTTAATGCTACTGAGGGTATTTCAGAAAATTTCTTTAATACTTCATATAATATTTGTGACATGAGAAACGTCTGAAGTTTAATAAATAAAGGGAACAAATAAAGGGAAACATCGGCTTTATAAATAAAGGGAACATTAGAGGGAATGCTCAGGATATTCCTGAAAAATGCGAAGCATTTCTGATGATCACCATTTTAATTCTAAACTAATATCATATTTGTTTCTAAATTAAAAGATTTGTTAATTTATGTAATGTATTAAAGGTTTAATAGTAATTTGCAGTTGGCTAGAACCTTTTAGGAACATCCTGCGTGTATTTAAAATGCTTTCATCATGCAATGTTTTGATCAAAAGTTCGACTCTTGAATTTTCAATAAAAGAATGAATTTCAAGAGATAAAATTATTACCGTAAAAGTAATATGCTTGTTCCCCTTCACATCTCAATATTTGACTTTACGCTCTTGCTTATGTTATAATGATTCAGCCTCACTAGTAGCCGAGTGATTAAGACAACTGAATGCTGGTAGTTCGTCCTCCGTTCGACTCCTAGCGAACGGGTTGGTTGTACGTTTGGCTTCGTAGCCTTACCCGTGTGTAAAGTGAACATGAGCTAGTTTTCCTTAGGATGTCCTATACACAAGGACTCTATCCTTAGGCACGTAGCCCTCATGTACTTTGCCATATTTCATTAACCATGTTTTTTAATAATTGATCTCATTTTTCACAGGTTCGTTGGAAAACACACAAGCAGGGATCAGGGCTATTTTAAATTATGACTTCGGAAAATCAATATTAATATGAATATATAGAGAAGAGAATATGCACCACATCAATAGACATTGCTAAAAATACAATTAATATGCATAGATGTAAAAACATAAACACAATTTAAACAACAAACTACTCTAAAAAATAGTACAAGTGCCCCCGCATACCACGGTTGTGTGAAAACACGGATAATACCTAACACTACAGTAAGGTGACGTTCGCATTACGCGCATAAACGTTTCCTTGATTAGTTGCTATCAGTAATAATATTACATAAAATAATTATACTATGTACAGTATAAAATGTATAAATGTACACTACATTGCTCATTTACACTCTGCTCTCTGTAGTCCGTATAAAAGTAAGGGATTATCCCGTTTCAATCTAAACTGCAAGAGATGATACAAGAATAAAAATGCACTAACTATGTAGTATTATAGTTCTCAGTTTTGAGGAATTACAGTAAAACCCAGATTTTCTATGAAATATTACGTAAACAAATTTGCGTAGGTATTTCATAGTTATGAGGTACTTAAAATTACCTTTATATATATTATAACATTTATATAAACTACTTTAAAACTTTATATAAACTATGAGCCATCTGTAGTTTATTGGTAAAGAGAATCTACGAAAAGTGAAAAGACTCACATTACAGTATGCAAGTTAAATATAAAACGCAGTTTTCTAAGAAATGAGTTTCTTTTCATTTTAAAGAAGCTAATATTCAAATAAAGTAACTTACGGATTTGACTAAAGTGGATTACTTGATTTAGACAAAGCATACGAGAGTTAGCTGAATAAGCCGAGTTTTGATTGAGAAGGATGTTTATGATAGAATTCTATGATGCCGTTCTTCTTTTCCATACCATCACTCTATCAGGAAGAATGTCGGCTGGACATATTTTAAGTTCCCCTGCTGTGAGAAACCTAAAGTCACAAATATCTATATTTATACGGGATTCGAATGCGGAACCCATAACATGGAAATCAGTCGATATCATACTGTCTGGAGTAGCTAAAACAAATTATGGAAATTAAAATTAACTCAGTGTTAATTTTGAGAATAGTAAAGTTTCAGAGCTGTTATTGTACTATGCGATATATATTTCGGGTATCCAGATGTTTAACATTAATGATACTTACATCATTATTACTAATTCTGGTACAGACGCGCTTTGAAAATATTTACTATACAGAGTCAATAGGCCTTTTTTGATGCTGGATATGTGAAAATTGCGCAATGCCCTCGCCGGGACTCGAACCCTGTACCTCTCTCGAATACGCTTTGGGTATGCTTCCAGTTACACTAAGAAGGCATACGGAAAGGTGGGAGAGAATACCTTATAAATGCAATATATTTCATTGAGAAAACTGCATGATTTTGGGTTTAACCATATAATTCGCACAATGTAGAGATGAACATCGTAAATATTCAAATAAAATTATCAGGTTCAATGTTTCTTCTAACCTTCTTCGGAAACATTCAATGACCTGACTAGAACAGAGAGCTTACTAAAGCTATGTTCACTAATTGTAGTAAGTAGACAGGATACAGACGAAGGGTATACAAAACCCTTTATTTTTTTCTTTATATACAATGACTTCCGTACTTCGGAATACAATGACCCTCCACTCGGGGTCTAACTTAAAAGATATCAAAATAAAACTAAACTCTAATTTAACTTTAGAATAAGATTGGCCTTATAATAACAGGAAGCGTATGTAGCACAGAGACTGTGAACACTACAATACGTTTAATTTATCAAGAGGATTAAAACCTCTGGCCTGGAAGGCAAAGTAGCAACTGCGTAACTTCTAAGGTAAGCGGCCTGCTTCGAACTCACGGCTTCCTCTCTTCTGCTTGGCAAAAAGGCCACACTTAAATACTTGGCGTTCGCCAGACAACTTTGCATAAAACCCTTCACGCTTATAATTCTGGCCGGAAGTAGAAAATAAGAAGTGATAGTAAAGATTTAAAATAAAATAAACGTTAGTAAAACTTAAGATCCTTACAAAATGAATATGCAAAGAAAATTTTGGTTATTATCTTTATTAATTCTTTAATAATTAATATTAAGAATTTTTTATTTATACATGCATTTAACTATTTTATGACAAAAAGTTTGTTCAGAAAAATGCTGATATCTTACAAACGCAAGTAACGTGATATAAAATAAGCAATATAGTAATTTAAAAACCTATTTATGAGAAATTTAAACTAAAAAAAGTATCATAATTACCCAAATGATCTTAAAATTTATGAAAATATGTGAAAATTGCGTCGTAAAAGGTTTATAAATTGATTTTGTGTATTTAGGCAAAAGAGCTTGTCCAGGTGCAACATTAGCACGAGTGGAAGTCTTCCTCTATTTCGTATCAATTCTTCAGAAGTTCGACATAAGTTTACCAGCTGGACAGACTGCAGATTTCGAAGGAGAACTAGGAGCCAGTCTTATACCAAAAAGTCAAAAGTTGATTCTGAGAAAGCGGGAATGAAAGTTAACTGAAAGAAAAATATTCTGCCATATCTATAAGATGCTGTATTTCATATCAGTAATCATAACGCCTTGGGAATTTGTTCAAATCATACAAATTTACGCCAAATTTGGAAAGATTATATTCATGTTATTGAGTCGTTGAAGATTGTAAAATTCCTTTACTTAGAAAATTAAAAATATTTAATTATATTTAGCTGATGCTTTTTTCTTGAGAGAGAATTTAACTGCTTAGTTATGAATTTTATGCATTACTGATGACTTATTTGCGAAATAAGCAAAAGTAAAACTTTTCCATTTAAATATAGCTTCGAATATAGTTTAAACCCCCCACCCCCACCCAGAGAGAGAGAGAGAGAAAAGCAAAGATGGAAAAAACGAACTTCTAGTTTTAAACAGAAGTTTTTAGATATTTATTTAAATTTAAGAAAATAAATGAGAGGGAACAATGGCGACTAACTTTAAAACATTAAATTAGGAAAATCTCTTAATGTTTTATTCTTTTAACATCTAACCGTAACACTTAAAATCGATGATTAGATGATATTACAAAAATCGAAAAACATATCTGTACTGAAGTTAAATATACAGCTGACAAATAACGATACGTAGGATATATGATGTTTAGAGCAGAGACTGAAAATCATAGTCCCAAAGTGGGAACACTAAGTAATCAGATATATAAAGGTGGTATAACGCAAGAAATTACTTCAAACATTTTTTGGAATTAAGTGTACAAATTATGTACATGAAAGATTGTATTTTGAATTTAATAAAATATGTGAGGAAAAATAGTTTTAATCTATAATAAGGCCTCAAGCTCTTCTTTTGATATGATTTCTTCCACCCTTGTTTTAAAGTAATAATATTCTTCTACAATAATTAAACTTTCAGGTATACAACGATTCTTAGTAAATGAATTTTCCTGTATTACACTTCGAGTGCTGCGGGCATTTAAACATATATAGAAGCAAAAGTGAAAATGAAATGCGTCTGACTCCCGATTGACCGGGAAAATCTTCTGATTGATATGCTTTCTTAATGCAAAAGCACGCTTATTTTGCACATTTCTATAAAACAAGACACCTTTGCCCATAAGTTTTCAACAAGATTATTTTAACTGTCAATTATTTTTTGTGGTGGTCAGAGATATTATCTGATTAAAGCTACTCTGTTGTTGCCCTCTGGATTATTCGGAATCACAAGATGACAATCTGCTAAGTAATGTGATGACACTTCGCAAAAATCAATCATCGAGCTAAAGACAAGGCTGTGATTCATTTTATGTTAATTAACCAATCACCATAAGTTGAATCTTTAATTTTTCCGTAACTTTAACTTCTTTCCGTAGTCCTTACCAGGATGTAAATTAAGTTGCAGAGTATTTAAGTTGAAGGTTTTTCAGTGTTTTAGATGCAAAGTTTTCGATAGCGTAATCTACCGTTTATATCTATTGCCCAGCTCTGCCAGTGAGTATTTCGGCTTTAGCCATTTAGCTGACCGACGTTAAAGCGCGCCATTAAAATATACACTTGATTATATTTTAACTTGAGTAGACCACTTTGCGTAGTCTCCGACTATGATAATTTAATTTGAAATTAAAGTTTGTTATTTTAAATACCCACGAGTTTATTTGAACATACAAGTCATGCTTCTTCTTCATTTGAAGATTTAATAGAAAGATTATTTACAGTCTTATTAGGCCTTTTTCATAATCTTTTAGACGAAGCGATTTGCTCGTTTGTCACAGCTAAGACCCTATAAGGCCGTTAAAAAGCACAAGACAGAGGAATAATGAATATTATAATTATTAGAATAATATTTAGAATTTACCTGCATTTTCAGTATATTAATCTGAAGAGAAAGTTTACTGAATTACATAAATTAAATCAGTACTCAAAGCAAAAAAGGCATGCAATAAAAGATGGAAGACTACATATCATTAGAAATGAAGAAACGAATTTACAAATGGTATTAAAGAATAATATTTACAAGAGAATTTTGAACAATATCATTCAGTTAAAATTCACATAAACTAGCTAATTAGATCCTTCTGCTTTATTTATTTTTTTCGCAGATCTTTTTGTCTTTAGCTCGATGATTGATTTTTGCGAAGTGTCATCACATTACTTAGCAGATTGTCATCTTGTGATTCCGAGTAATCCAGAGGGCAACAACAGAGTAGCTTTAATCAGGTAATATCCAACGACTTCATATAACAGGTAGACGGCTCACCCACAGAGAATTCGTCTGCTAGGGTGTCTCCAACATATACCACGTGACTAATGCTCTTGGGGAGTGATAGCTTAGGCTGTTCATCGCCAGTTTGGCCCGCTTTTGATATGGCAGGTAGTGCTTTTTATTTCCGTCTGCTAGCAGTCAGCAGACAACGGCCTCGAATTAGGTTGTTTTTTTTTTTCGATTTTTTACAATTTTATTTAGATATAACTTAACCCCTTTTTTCCTGAATATTTTATCTATATTTTTAATAATCGCTTTAAATTATTTGCACCATTGTTTAAGATGTTTAGGTTAAATAATTTTAGGAAGAAAATCTAAAATAAATAATGAAAAATTGAGATGGAAACTTTAATTTTGAATAACGTTAAAAAATTAATTGCACTACTGTTATAATATTTGAGAAGGTAAAAAAATCTCGTTTAATTTTAATGCATTGCATCCTAAAGAGAAAAAGAAAATCACATTGTATTATATGTATTTATGCCATTGATTGCCTCTCTTTGCTTGAGATTATATTACTGGAACAAAATAATGCACTCTCTTTTCTTGAGATTATATTACTGAGACAAAATAATGCAATCTTAATTACTGATTTCCGCACTCATTTGTATGTCATGGCGGGGATCAATACTTATTAACTATAACAAATATTTTATATTGAATATGTATCAAACGGTAACGAACTTCAACTCAGTATTTATTATTAGAATCAAAACGATATTACAGTTAAAAATTCTCTCATTCTTTTTTTTTAAATACTATTTAAAATATGGTAAGTTTTTCACATCACATTTTTTCAATTACAATAAATTTCTAACAGCATCGTAGATGAGACAGAATTATAATCCAGGTTATTTTTATTTTAATTGATTTTATAGAAAATAATGATAAAGCATTGAGCTTTATAAAAGTAATCTGTTTTTTTAAAATAATGCTGTTTAACTGTTTATGTTCAATGTTGCATGAATCAAGATCTTCAGCTTTTTTTTAACGAAGTAAACATATCGCACAATCTTTTTTCAATAATTTAATGCTAATAATAGCATTTTTCTTTTTTTATCGCAGGCAGTAATTGTTTATGAAATCAAAACGCGTACGACTTGGCGGAAAAAAGTTAACGCCAATTGGCGCAGCTTTCTATTTCAACGGAATACACGGAAAAAACATATAAAATTCAATTATTTGTAAAAGATGATTCCAGTAAATAGTGTCACAGTATTTAATACATTTTGATGCTAATAATACATGCTGAAAATGTCATATACGGCGGCAATTTTCTTATACAATATGGCTGAAACTTTCCAACAAATTCAACAGAGATAGTAAAATGACAAAAGTACTGAAAATAAAATAATAAATCATGCAGTTTTAACTTACCTATGAAAGGTTACAAGTCCTCCTTTCACGAAACTTTCTTTACATCCGTAGGCGCTGCAGCGAATAACCATTTTTACTTAAATTTTATGTGACCAAGCAGAGCAGCAGTCTTTCGTCCCATAGAAAGCAATGTAAAGTATTTCCGGACTTTCGGAATTCGCGCAGCAGTCACGTGACACTAATGTTGGAACCGGTTGAAGGTTGCAATACGCTCTCTACCAGTATACGATCTCGTTGGTAGTATCTCTGACCACCACAAAAAATAATTGACAGTTAAAATAATCTTGTTGAAAACTTATGGGCAAAGGTGTCTTGTTTTATAGAAATTTGAAGAAATAGATAATCAGGGCTAGAGTGAAAGAGGTAAAGCCAATATTTGAGAGCTTATTGTCGACGGTCTTGCTGTTTATTTTTGCTTACATTAGTCCTGCATTTCAGTAGATTCACTGTGAAATACAAGAGTAATAGCTTTATATTTGATTTATTTCTAAGAAAGAGCCAGTTTACTTTTAACAGATGATTTAACAATGTTTATTATGTTCCGGATTATGAGCAATTAACTCTAAAATATTATTACATCATCTGCTACCATTGCTGTTATTCTACGCGTTCTTTCTTCCTTTCTGTAGTGCTCATAAACAATTCTTGATATGCTGACGATTCATGTTAAAAATGTTTTCATCATTCCGAAATAAAGAAACTCTTCTTTTTAATCCACCTCTGGTTGACTGAGAGTCTACTGTAGTTCATCTAGTGGTATTTATACCAAATTTCTGTAGGAAAAAGACATTATATTCTGCAAGCTATAAAGGAATTTTTCCCATTTTGAATATGTCTACCAAAGGTAATTTTTTCCATTTCCTTTCAACTGATATCTTGAGAAGCATATAGATTTTGTGCTTGAGTTTTGAGTGTGCTTTCCATTGTAGCGTCGTGAATGTTCCAAACACAAGGAAGAGAGAGAAGTGATGCATCAATCTTTTATTCACATAATTATCACAAAACATGAAGACACAAACCTAAATTATAAATTACACACATTCTGCAAATCATATTATTCCAGTTTGACGAACTCGGCAGTCTTGGAAGTCAAGTGCTTCTCTTTTTCCTGGCATACTCGTTTCACACACATACAAAACTCGCATACTCGTGTACTCATAATACTCGAATACTCGTAATTTACATACATGTAAAATATTAATTAAACATGCCAGTGACAATTCAGAGAGATAACAAGAGGGCCATGGTGACATCCGTCACATCCGTCCTTGGAAGACAAAAATCTCCACATCTCGCTCGTGGGAAAAACCTCTCTCCTAGTATAACAACGTAGAATATACTGTTGTTCTTCTTGTGCAGGCGCAATACCTTGGATGA